ATTGTAAGAATTTCTGAATGTCTCTGTTTTAAACAGTATGATAGCACTTATTGTAAGAATACTGAGTGGCCCTGTTATAAACCGTACGATAGCACTTATTGTAAGAATACTGAGTGGCCCTACTATAAACCGTACGATAGCACTTATTGTAAGAATACTGAGTGGCCCTACTATAAACCGTACGATAGCACGGTTGTAAGAATACTGAATGGCCCTATTTTAAACCTTACGATAGCTCTTATTGTAAGAATATTGAGTGGCCCTGTTATAAATCGCACGATAGCACAGATTGTAAGAATACTGAGTGCTTCTGTTACAAACCGTATGATAACACTGATTGCAGGTGCATTGGGCGTTCTGCTCTAAAGCATACTAAAACATTGAGTATGGGTATATTAAACGGCCCTGTTAATTAGTTTTATTTGTTGTCAAGCAAAAATACACAATTGGCTAGCTGTACTATAACCAACGTGGGTATCTAAACCCGATATTTAGGGTTTTTCGTGAATCATTGACAAAATCTTATTTGAACGTGTATTTCACTAACAAGAATTTCATATTCCAAGCTTATGCTAGAATAATAGAGGTACTAGTTTATGTCCTTCTAGTCAATAATTTATTAAGAATTCTTATCTGTGTCGAATTGGCTTGTTGAAGACTTTAAGGATGAACACCGAGTGACACTTCTGAGATCTAATATCGACGAACTCTTTATTTAATTTCCTTAATATATAAGAATTTATGTCTTACATAATTTTATTCGTGGTTACGATTGCCATATTAACGATAAGATGTATTTCACTGACACTTGAATAAGATGTATTTCATTGACACTTGATTATTTATAAGGATTTCATTTGACAGAAGTCGATAACCTCGATGCTTTAATAATCTTAAAGTCATAAATACAAACAAATATGTAGCTCTAACGACAATCCTGTCCCTTGTGGACTACCACCCATCCCAGTAGTAAATACTTTATAATACTAAGGTCATATCATTAATTCGTTTAAGAATATTTAAATATAAGGTGGTCAAAATACGTTTTTCGTAAAGTTTGAAACGAGGATGTGGCATTTCTATTGATCTACACACTTTTTAGCATGGACTCGTTTGCCCAAGAGTTGTGTGTGTGTGTGTTTTCTTATAGCAAAGCCACATCGGACTATCTGCTCTGTCCACCGAAGGGGAATCGAACCCCTGATTTTAGCATTGTAAATCTGAAGACTTACCGTTGTCTCACCGGGGGAATCAAGAATTTTTCGGCCACCTACCATGTAAAAGTTTTTTTTTTTAGAAACGCGTAAGGCATCGAAATAAATTTCAAACTGAAAGTAAAATAAAAAGTGATTTAAGTAAATTTATTATTTATTTCTTATATAGTGCTGTTTTCTACAAGTGTTTTCATTGTGAACAGACACTGTTCAATTAAACATAAATGTATCAGTTTCTGGTAGGGTCGTGCTTCTTATTAAAGTGTTATTTCAGTCAGTATTATTAAAAATAAAAACATGCGATAGTTAAATAAATTACTTTGAACGATTAAAAGTTTTGAATACTGTTTTCATATTTCGTAATAATAATTAAGTTACGCAATATTCCACATTTAATGTTGAGCTATTGGATAATTCATTTACAACTTATATAGTTGTTTAAAAAAAAAGTGCCAGTGTCTAATCGGTTTAAAAATAGTAACTCAAGAACGGCTTAAATAATATGATTTTGTACACACTATTACAGAAATATTGAATATAATTTTAGAATATTACGACTTCTGACTTAAATTTGGATAAAAGAGGGATGTTATTACTTGAGTATGATTTATCATGGATAATTTTTAATAAGATCATATACATCCGTTAACCAAAAAAAAAAAAAAAACCTTATGATCCAACACTGCAAGCTTAAGGTTATCTTGTACAGTTTTTATTGACTAAAAGAGAACTTTGATAAAAGATGGCTGGCTCCAAATGTTGTCAACCTAAAGTCAAATACACGAACCTTGTGTATCAGATCAGGTGCATCAACTGTATAAAGTTTGCTGGCTTTTTACAGTTACTATTTTATTACTGGCAAGTCTGCCAGTTAATGGCTAAGTCTCTCAATTCCACGGGAAAAGGCAATTTATTGGAGAAGAAACCTTTGTCGGAAGAACAAGCCACCGCACGGAGCTTAAGAAAAAAAAATGGCTTAAATTTATTTTTGCGTTCGCCCCCGTGACAGCGCCTCCTCGGCTGGACTCAGGAAAGCTTTTTCGTGATCTTGAGGAAATTCAGTGCGGAGAAAGCGCTAGCTCTTCAAAGCGGGTTATTTATAGTTTTTGTGGCATTTAATTACGGACTGCACTGGCACATTTTGAAAAGTCTTTCTTTTGGACCTTGAGACAGCGCTAAGAAGAGTACGGTACGTTCAAACTGTCTCTCATTTTCTCGCGGCAAACGATACACCATCTGGCTTAAAACTATAAAACTTCTTGTCCTGATAGAATGATAAATTAAGGAAAATAGAAACTCGACTTTCTCTCCTTCAAACCGTGTACGACGTCTAAGAAAGCAGCAGATTTTATTTCAAGCAAGAGGAAACAACGATTTTGTAGGGCGGGATTTCTCTCTCTAACGGCTGACAATACTGGTAAACAAACCTCGCTCCATTTCCCGACCTCTCCAAGTTCTGAAAATAGCACGAATCGAAAGATTCTAACTTAAAATAGTTTTATCTCCGGATAATATTCGACTCCTTTTCTCTGTTTTCTATTTTGCGTTACGAAATAAACCAATGTAAGTAATTTTTCTTAACGTATGATGGGTCCCCCAGTGGCACAGCGGTATGTCTGCGGACTTACAACGCTAGAAACCGGGTTTCGATACCCGTGGTGGGCAGAGCACAGATAACCCTTGTGTAGCTTTGTGCATAATTAAAAACAAACAAACTTAACGTTTGAAGTGGAATGAGACCCACGATTTCGAATTAATGACATATGCTTAATTTTAGTATTAGTGAGAGAATTAAAAACTTAATATAATTTCAGTTAATAAAATAATTGCAATTTTGTAATGTTTTCACGTGATGGAGCATCTTTTAATAGCAGTCACAATATATAAAGAAATAAAACTCTTAAAGGTGAATTAAAAACTTAAGATCATTTTATTTATTAGTTTATTCATTAATTTCTCATAATAACTTGGGGTTTCTACTCGGTCATTTAGGTATTTTGCTTCGTGACAATAACCCGTTGATTATCGTATTTAGATATAGTTTCCCAAAGACATGATTTATTGAAGTTAAAGCACAACTTACAAGAGTTTATTTTGTAGGAAACATTCCGCTGGATAGTACCTTTAATTTGCTATGGAATTGAGAAAAACTTACTGTTTTATACAGAAAACATTTCTATAACTTGTATAATGTAAAAAACGTGTTTACGTACATTTCAGATCCTTCATGGGTATTTACTTGTAGCCCTGTCGGTGTGGCAATGAACACATGATCACCACTAAATGACCCTGTTTGGCCTGAATGAATTAACTTACCGTGTGGTGACCAGGTTTATCCAGTTTTTGTGTGCTTTTATTAGTTTGTCACGTGCCTGTCAAAATGATTAAGGTTAATGTGTTGTTTTTCTAAGTTCACGTGGTCGTTATTTGAAATAAATAGTAAGCTGACAACTAAGTACAGGTACTTAGCTTTAATAGTCTTTGTTTCCACTGTTACTTTGTAAGCAGGTTGGGCATGAACAGAATGTTTATTTTTATTGCAAAATGGGGTATCTTTCGAGTTTCAATATTCTATAAAATGAACAAGAAATAACAGGACTAATTATTTACGGCTTTAAATGACACGAGATATGCAGCCTCATAATTTTTTTTTCTTTGTTAACTTGGATAGAATCGTAAATAATTCGCGCATAAACACGTGTTTTCAAAGCCTTATCAAAATGATTCTCGAACGTGATGAGTACCACGTGACAAATCAGGTTATTCGCGCTCCTAACGCATATCTTTCTTCACATCTATTCGACCTTTATCCAACAATCAGAATGACAGTACGATTTCACAGATTATAGGTTACATTTGACAGATATATGTCTCTTCTCTAAGAACTTTGTTATTGACCTTAGCAGATCTCGTTGAAGCTTCTTTAAAACTCTAACTTTGCAATCAAATCTGTGAGCTGTAAAGTTATAAATATAAACTTCTCGGTCGTTTCACACTCAAATATCGAGAGCTTCTATTACTGATAACTCTCATTTTAAATAATATTTCGCAGGCTGTTCAATGAATGTTTTAATTTTCTTTAATACACAAGGTCTATTTAATTCTGAGGTCTTCTTCATTGTTTGCACTAAATACAATTTCAAAGTTCATTTTCTAGGTATAAATTCCTATAAATTTTTCATGGAATTGAGAAAATTATAGTTTTATAGTTGTATAGTGTGAGAAACTTGTGTATTAGAAATTTACAACCTTCATTGAACAACAACCTCGCAGTCTGTGAAACACTATTAAAAATGTGAGTTATCTGAAATTTTAAGTTGAAATGTTGTGCTTTTACATTGCTAGGGAACCCCTTTAAAAAATCTGGACTGACTGTATCCTTTTAAGAATCTGGATTGACTGTGAGCAATTAACGCATTCCAGTTTTGTAATATATGCACATGAAGGTTTTGATCAAATAACATTTTTTTTTTGTTTGTCAACAAATGAGCACAAAGAAAGTTTTACTTCTTCGTATTATTATTATGGGCTACGTCTGCTACATATAAACGTTGTTTTGGTCTATGTTATTACATTGTTTACACAATAATGCCGTTGTACGTTGTCAGTTTTACAAATGTTTAGGGTAATTTTAATACCTCACAAAACGTGTTGGATCATTTGACGATGCGGATCAAAGGTAAATGCAAAACACTTTGGGCTCAGATAGATTACAGCTGTAACAGTTATATATTTCAAAATTGATTTTCAATACTCCAATTGATTCAGGTTTCGTGGATTTTACAGGAACGCCAGTGAACAGGATCCCTATCATGGCCAAACAGGTGCTGGATATTTACGAACTCTACCGTCTGGTTGTGGCGCGAGGAGGTCTGGTGGAAGTTATTAACAAGAAAATCTGGAGAGAAATCACCAAAGGTCTTAATCTTCCGTCCTCTATTACCAGTGCAGCCTTTACACTAAGGACACAGTAAGTTTTTTCTTCTTTTTTGTCTCTGAAGACAGGAATTTGAAAACCGTCACTAAAACAAGTCGAGACACTTGTTTAAAAAGAATCGAAACCATACAGCAATAATAATTTTGAAATACGTACTTTATTCGATTTCATGTAGAGGATTGGAACTGTAAACGTAGAAGCATAGAAGGTTTTTAATGTCATTGGCATTGGTATGTTGCGAGACTAGACAACTTATTGTGCCAGTAGGTATCGGTCATTTTGATATCTTTAAAGTCGCAAGTCTTTTTATCCACACGTTAATGTTCAGGTTAGCTTTTAAATTTAAGCCAGCCTTGTATGAGGCTTGCTGTTTGTAAAAATTATTCTTTATGTGAAATTTGTTTCGTTTATTTATTTCTAGATGGCGCCAGCTAACAATAAGACAAGCCTCTCTAAATTGTATGGATTCATTTCTTTAGTCATATCGGACATGGCTTCCTACAAGTTAGCAGATATTACACTGACTTATATATGTATGTTTAGATTATTTGAGTTAACTTCATTAAATATGATATTTTAAGGGTCATGGGAAAAGATGCACGATAGCAAGTATGCTAAAATTCGAGGTTTGATCCCTGAAGTGGGTACAGCACAGATAGTCCATTTTGCAGCTCTGTGATTAACCACTCTTTTAAAAAAAATTTTGCCCACGTATTTTGTTTTCTACCTCCAAATTATAATCCCAGTTATCTTTGGTGCCACAGAAAAAATCCCGAAATCCTCGATGTTTATTTTGTACATATTTGTATCTTTCTCATGAAAATTGCCAAATACAATACACCAAAACTCCGACATGAATGTTCCTACCATTTATGTCATAAAAAGCAACGATTATAAAACACTCCCAATAACTTAACTGTTTTTATGTATGAGAGTTGCCTTTATAAGAATTTCAAGTTTGTTTTTTTTTAAGAAAAATTTACTTGGCACTGAGAAACCAAGGTATCATGATAAAGCTATACAACCTAAAGTATAACGACAGCACACACAAACACACGTTTATTAACGAGGCCGTCTTCATGTGTTCATGGCACAATACCGAGTAGGATTTATAAAGATCAGTAGGTACCACAGACCAAGATACCACGAGGAAAAACTTTACGAACCTTTAACAATAAACAATAATGGTCAGTGGATACAGCACTGCCGGGACATTTCAGCTCACCTACTCATGTCTAATCAAATTTGTATAATATACTGAACAGTAAAAGTTCACTGGATGTCTCCGTGTGAAATACTGGGGTGTCCATCTAAACGTAGTCAGTCTCTTTTGAGTGAGTCCATGCGAACTTTGAAAAGTATTAAAATGAACCCACACATTAGGCATTAAATTAATCACACGTGATTTTAATACTTTATACAAGTACATTTAATCTATACAAAGAGTTCCATGGTGCTAGATTTCACAGACGGGCTTCAGCCAATAAGAAGCTCATCACAACCGTGAATAGAAAACGCCGATTCTTACGGGGCCTTGATCGTTGAAATTAGGTTTAAGAACAACAGAGAAATAATGTATTACGATAACTCCTGCTACTACGGGTTTGGGTTTGACATAATGCTTTGAATATGGCTATGTCATTTCAACTATTGTGAATTAGTAAAATAATTATGTTTTCATGATGATAAACGGTTGATTACGGGTCCTAACAGTCTAGGAATTCTCTGGACGAGAAAGTAAGGTTACTTGAAACGTCGTCACCCAGTCCAGAGAATTCGGTGCTTCTCGGGCTATTATTCCATAACCTACATTTTCTCGTGATATGGAACTATGTTAGGTGATATAGATAATGATATAGTTTAAGAACCCATGAATTCCATGTCGTATTGTTACAATATATATAATACTATACAAATAACGCCCCAAACCTCACTTATCCATCAGAGATCTCCAATTTAAATCCCAAGACGTTTTATAACGTATTTCAAGGGCAAAGACAAGCCTCGAAATGTCATTGTTGTTGTTGATTCTTTATAAGAGGACTGAATGACAAAGGAAAGTTAAGTCCTTATTGAAGAAAATTACCTAGCGGTGAAATACGACATCTCTGTTATCAGCGGGTGCTGTCCCCGCTATTTTTGGTAATATACTGAATATATATATATATATCTAGAGAGAGAGAGAGAGGGTGTATATATCGCATGCCTTCTGACATATTGATCACTCTATCAGTGTTTTCTGCCACCATGCTTATTAAATTACGGTTAATTTAAAGCTTGGAATAAATAAAGTAATAATAAGAATGATTCTATGTAAGAGAGAGAAGGAATGCAAGGCTGCTTAAATGAATGCGCTCTTCGAACGCAACATTCCTAGGTTGCGTAATATCATAACTTCAATACAAATCACTTATTTTACTTTTTGTCAGTGTTACGTCGCTAGGGAAATATAACTCAAAATTCTGTACATGTAGTAGACTGTTTGTGAAATCGATCAATTTCATCAAATAAAAAAACCAACAGGAAATACAGTTTCGCTACATAAATAAATTAAATGAATGCCACGAGAGACACCTAGTCAGTCAACAGTTGAAAAAAAATAATGGTCTTAGACATAATAGTTACCGTAGGTTAACTTTGTATGATTTATGAAAATATAGTTGTATAATAAATCTTTTTAGACGTACAGTAGTTGGTTTTCGTATTTGAAAAAATATATATCTTAAATAGGGAATACTATAAATTTAGTACTAAGTTTATTTGTGTGATTGTTTTAGCGAAAAACTTAGCAATAGGCTATTTATGTTGTGCAAAAGGTAATGATCGAACTCACAATTTTAGCACTATAAGCCATCAAACTTGCAGTTAAACTGTTTAATGTAAAACTGTTATTGCATTTAATAGCATAATGTTTGTTGCACATTTTTTTTCTACAAACATTTTGCGTAGGTTTAAGTTTGGTTTAGGCTTAAGCTTGAGTCAGTATAGTAATAATTTCTCTTTTGTACGAAAACTACGTTGAACATTAGCACCCTTCAAAATTTCAAAAACAAAATAGTGATAATGATAATTGATAAACATGTGAGAATCACTTTGATATATTTTGTAAACAAGCTTACGAGGTTTTCTACTCAAGTTCAGTATGACATTATAGACCGTGATGTAGCTTTAGTGACAACTCCTTTGAGAGGAGTTATTTATTTATTTAACTTGGTAGGGATTTCGGTTTAAATCGTTTGACACTGAACTCGGGAAGAATTCAGGATCAAAGGAAGCCGGAGGTGTTCAGAAAATTATTTCTCTTCACCCCACTCTTGTGTGAAAATTACAGTGAGGGGGCCATGTGAGAAAAAAAACAAAAAGAAACGGTAAATCGAAGAGTGAGTTAAAACAAGAATGATATTAGTACTTTAAGGCTTAACGGGAGAGAAGATTCAGAAGGCAAAAACATAAAAAAAAACATGACGGTTGATAAGTAAGTCCTTCTTCTATGTTAAACCTGACTGGTAAGTATGGCAAAAACTACTGATTGAGGATCTGTAGATCCAGAACCCTTGATTTAGTTGTGGGAGAAAAACAGAAGTACCTCGAGAAAAACCCACTGTCACCACCCGGATGCCGAATAATCTGTTTGGATAGAGCCTGAGCTGTGGTGCTAAAAAGGTTGTTGATTAGTAGCTATAAACATGAAATTCTAGAAAGTATTAACTCAATTCAGGGGAGATATGCGAGTGCGTCATGTTTCCGCAGTGGCTAAGATTGTTCTGAATACACTAGTTAACGGCTTACGATTAAGTGCTTTAGTAGGAAAGTTTTTTGCTAATATGTGTGTTCTGTTAATGGAATATCGTTAACTTTATTGAGGTAAGTTCTGTAGTATAGGCTGGTAGTCTGTAAGTTATTGTTTACGTAGTTTATTAAAAGGACGTGTTACAAATAATGTGTGTGTGTGTATGTATGCATGTAAGATGGTATCTGGGTTACATACATTTTGAATCTCCTTATTTTCTTCACATAACTCAATCTTTGACTCATTTTAATGATAATAATATTGATATGATTCGTGCATGAAGTCAGCAAGATTGCTCAATTTTCGAGTGCTTATACAGCGTTTATGTTGACTATGATGGCGTTGAGATCCGGCATAATGACTTTGATGCGTTTTTATTAGGTTGATACTAAGCAATGAGACATGTGACACAAACAGCACATTGCGAAAGTTTGTTTACATAATTTTATTATCTGAGCTCGGCAAATGTGTCTTTCACATTTCAACACAGCATTTTCGTCAGAAAGTGACTCAGCAGTGGCTTAAGTGTCTCGAAGCCAGCTTGCTATATATCTATCTGCAAAACATTTGTCTGAGCCATCTGAGTCTTTTCTATTATATCGAATTAAAATTGGGATTATTATCCAAAATGGCAACTTCCATATTACCCTACTTAATGGTCGAGTTTTACGAATCACACTTACACTATTTTTCATGTTATCCAAGTTGTCCACTATTATGACCTGGGCGGGACAGTGCATCCAGATTTGACACTAAACCGCTGGAATCCCAAGACATTATACAGCAATTACTTTTTAACCAAATATATAATCAACATCTTCCATCCTGATACAACACACCCAGAGACTTACACAGTGAACTGTTGTCTCAGGATACACCCAGATACTTGCACAGTGAACTGTTGTCTCAGGATACACCCAGAGACTTACACAGTGAACTGTTGTCTCAGGATACACCCAGATACTTGCACAGTGAAGGATCCTGAGACAACAGTTCACTGTGTAAGTCTTTTGGTGTATCCTGAGACAACAGTTCACTGTGTAAGTCTTTTGGTGTATCCTGAAACAACACTTCACTGTGTAAGTCTCTAGGTGTATATCTTTCTTATCATTTAGCCCTCTACAATTGGTATCTATATCTTACCTTTTAGCCCTCTACAATCCGTATCTCTCTCTTACCATTTAGCTCTCTACAATCCGTATATCTTTCTCATCATTTAGCTCTCTACAATCGGCATCTCTCTCTTACCATTTAGCCCTCTACAATCGGTATCTATATCTTACCTTTTATCTCTCTACAATCGGCATCTCTCTCTTACCATTTAGCCCTCTACAATCCGTATATCTCTCTTACCATTTAGCCCTCTACAATCAATATATCCTTCTTACCATTTAGCCCTCTACAATACGTAATAATCAAAATTCCCTTTTCACTAAAAAAAAACAAAAATCACATTACTTGATTGTTCGATATATAAAAAATACATATTATGTGAATAAACTCACTATATCAACGTGGATTTTTATAAATAAAATAATTATATTTTGCTGTACGATAATTATTTGTTCCGTTCAATATTGTATGTATATATATGTCTCTGGTCATAATATTTGAACTTAAATGTAAACTAACACGTTTAAAAACATTCCAAACTTGATAATGAATCTATTTTACTGAAATTTTCTACCATCATCCGATAATAACTTTGTATATGACCATACTGTTATTCCCACTGAATTACTTTAGGAGCCCGTAACGCTTATTTTCCAGAAATTAAAAGAGTACTGGATGTTATTATGTAAATATGGTCATTTACATCCCGACGAAGTCCGAAGTTCACAATTGTTTGACAACTATATGTATTTTGATAATTATTTTAATAACTGCTCATAGTTTGAAAATTAACTTCAGGTTCTTAGTAGTTAATGAACGTTTTTAAGTTGTTCAAACCATAAACAGAGAATCATTAGAGTAACATAACTGAAGTAATTACTATAAAATTGATGCTATTTTTCCATGAAGAGAATCTACAACGTTAGTTTGTATTAGTAAAAATAACGCTGTTTTAAACTGCTATTTCGAGTCGTCATGGAATGTTTACGAATATTTTGTATAAAATTCTAGATATTTAATAACCTTGAAAGATGAGTAACTTACCATTCTAATTAACTAAAGCAATGTAGAATATAATGTAAATTTTATAATATAACTATTAAGAATTATATTGATTATATTTGCGCACCCTTGTGTTATAGATATTTTATGCCCTAATCCCAATATCTTTTAAATAATTTTGGTCATTCAAAAGATTCAGAATGCAGACATTAATCTAGCATTGCAAATTAATCTTAATAAAAGTAATTGAAATTCGCAAAAGGATCCAAAAGTTTTAAATTTATTACAATATTTTAGTTAATATCATTTAATCAAAATAACCTCAACAACAAAATTGTTTATTCGTTTAGAATTTTCGCTTGGGCTACTCTTGTCTGACCAAATAAAAGGAATTGACTTTCACTCTTATAATGCACCCACGGCTTCAAAGTGTGTAATGGAACTCGAACTAAAAACACTCGGATCTACGGACTGGCACGTTGTCCACGAGGCCGTGCCAAGCCGAATATGCAAATGACTAAGTGATTATTTCAGCTAGTAAATGCATTAATTTTCAGTATGTAGTATACTAATGCATACTGTGGTATATTAGTATACTATTTAGTATATCTAAATAGAAACGTTATATTTTTTTTGGCTTTTGTATCTGTTACAATGCACAATCGACAACTTGAAGCAATGGTCATTAAAAAAAAACACTTAAAAAAACATGACAGTAAAAGCTCACAGACTGCTTATCCGTTAAACTACACGGTTGTCGTAGCTTGGATAGTGGGAAACGGTTGCAGGAATGACAAATGTGACCTCTCTAATCTTACTGAAAACTAAACAGACGTTAGTGGCTAGAGCAACAACAATAACAACAAAAAAGCTTATTCAGCCATTGACTTGTACGCTATCAGTTTTACCTGTTTCACATTTTCGGTAAATCATATGAGATAAACAAATAAATAAAAATAAGAATGTCGTGAAAGTTAAAATTTATTTGACCGAATTTTTTTCCAACAATGTTGGTCAACATATGTTACTGGTTTCGCGCATAACAACAATTCATTGTCGAAATTATATTTCCTAAAGATTTAGGTCAGTAGGACTGTAACAGTCACTGCTCAAATGTGAAATGACTTTATCCGTAGATTTTAGTTCACTCTAGATATTAAACTTTGCCCTCCAACATCCTAACGTGGACCTTATTGATCATGAAGACGACACACAGACTTTTAGGAAACGTAGCTGATGTTTGTTTGTTTGTAATTGTGCACAAAGCTACACAATGGGCTATCTGTGCTCTTCCCACCACGGGCATCGAAACCCGGTTTCTAGCGTTGTGAGTCCGCAGACATACCGCTGTGCCACTGGGAGGTAAACTTAGCTGAAAAATCAAGTATCTCTTCGATTATTTTTTAATGGTTTCACTGTCCCTTGCCGACGTTTAAATTGGCACTGATAGGTTTATCGCCATCGACGTTGAAATCATTTTTTTAGATGTAATAAATTCATCCTCAAGTGTGGGCAGATCTTTCTAGTATCCTTGAACCAAGATAAAGTAGGTTTTGTTGATGCTTACAACGAGGTAATTAATTTGGCCCTGTGTGGTCCCCCGTTGGGACAGCGGTAAGTCTACTTACTCACAATGCTAAAATCCGAGGTTCGATTCCCCGAGTTGAACGGAGCAGATAGCCCAACGTGGCTTTGCTCTACATATAACAAGCTGGCCCCGTGAACACTTTAAGAAAAGGGGAATTGGCTGGTGCATCTTACACTATGATATTACTTGCCACTTTTAATTTAGATCTATAAATAAGAAAAATCTGATTAACATACTCACTCCTCTCATATATTTCCATTTCTTAACTATATCCAACAAAAACTTAGTTTGATCAAGTTCAGTTTCTGAGATTAAAAATACAACAATAGCAGTGGTACAAGTTTCGTATAGAATAAACAAGTTTTAATTAGCAGACCGAGGCTTAACGTAATCAAACTAATACTAATGGTCAATGAGTATAGAATAACAAGGACAGACAGCTGGGCTTTAAGTACCGCAGAAACCAGTAGGGTGTAATTTATGACCTTTGATCATGGATATCCGCCTAAGACCAGTGGAACATATGTCTTGTAGAATCAAGATTTCTAACTTAATTGAGTTTTATGGCTTCTATACTGTCGGCCGTGCTCAAACAGACTACTTTCTCTGGTAACCGGAAGAAAAGTAATTGGCAGAGAAACACGTTTCGCTCGGGACGAATTAGCAAGCTTGCTGTGATTTAGTTCTGCGGGTTATGTATAGTACACCGTGTCTTTTTTTTTGCTGACCCGGCCTGAGCTGAGTTGAAATATTAACTCGTCGTAATTCTCTCGGGATAATCAAATTATATGAGTAAGCATGTGCATAAAGAGCTGTAAACGCGTTCAACATTGACGTTGTAGCTGACTAATTATTGCGGCTGACATGCCAAAAAAGTGACAAAGAATTTTGACATTAACACATTAGTAGGCACCTACCAGCAAAAGGTGCAAGTGTCATACAATACATGAGGTGACGAAATGAAAGCAGTAAAAATCATCTGTAACTAACCAGAATTTCTAACTGTTTTAATCTAATACAGATTGAAATGAAAGACTCAAGGAACTCTACTGTTGGCTAATTGCCAAACAGTTATAATCGGACAAGGGAGACTAATAGTATATAAATATATGTTTATGTTTTTTGCTATTAGTTATTGATTTAGGCAACGAAGTTTAAAAATTGTAGGTAGTTTGTAATTATCAATGTACGTTGCGTACGTGTCTTTTTAAATATTGTAGTTTATTGTGTATATGTACTAAGACACTGGTTCCCAAACTCTTTTAGTCTGAGGCTCCCTTGATGTGAATAAAAAAGTTTGAGGTCCCCAACCTATAACTTTAGCATGGTGATTGAAAAACAGTGCCGCAGTAAAAACAATAACATCTCCTTTCGACATACTATATCATTAAGTTAGTTCAACATAATTTTTATCGGCTTATTTTTTATTAAGAAGTAGAATTAATTCAGCATCTTTGTTTTTGGCCCATTTTTTGGTGACCCCCAGAAAAAACTTCATGGCCCCCAGGAAGGCCGCGGCTCCCACTTTGGGAAACATTGTACTAAAAGCTGCTACGTAAAACAAGCTTAATGTATGTTTCAGTATACGCTATTATAGTAACCATGTTAATGTTTTCTAGCAGTTAGTTATTGTGTATTAACCAGCTTTTGAAACATATCCAATAATGTCCCCAATGAATAACACCTTTCTCAGCCTTGCGGATAGGGCGGGGCAAGCATGATTAGGATAAGGTAGTTCTAAGTAGTTCATGGATTAACCAACTTCATTAAGTTAATGTTTAATTTGGCTATCTTTCTTCAAAAATATACAAAAGTGAACCGTGATCGACATATTAACATTTACAGCGTTTGGTCATGTCGCAATGCTCGTGTGTGCTGCGTCGCATAAGTAATTTTATAATTATACATATACTCTCCATGGGCGTCCGCAGAAATTTTTCCAGGCAGGGGCAAAATTTTCCTGGGGGGGGGGGGCAAAGCAGTGGGAAATTGTGAATTGAATAAAAAATTCATATACATATGCTGACTGATAAAGAAAAAAACGTTTCTCATTTTCCAGGGGGCAAACGCTCCCTCTTGCCCCCTCCCCTGCGGACGCCCACGATACTCGTTTTTTTTTATGTTAGTTTTTAAAAGATATATAAAATGGTATTTCAGGTATATGAAGTATCTCTATCCTTACGAGTGTGAAAAAGAAAAACTCTCGGTACCAGAGGAACTTCAGGCAGCCATTGACGGCAACAGACGCGAGGGAAGACGATCAAGTTATTCCCAGTACACCGATATGATGGGTACGACCCGTAATTCTTCCCATCACCATTATCATCCGCACCGAAGTCCCGCTCATCATCATTCAACACCACTCAGCTTGGTCTCTAGACAAGTCAACGGCTATGGTTCCATTCAAGGACTATCGTCAGGTAGGGGCTGGGTTCGCTCTTTCATATAATTCTATAGCAAATAAATATATGATCTTTATATATATACGTTATAGAATTGAAATATTATTTGTTTTAATTTTATGGACACGCATTTTCAGACAATCTCGAAACACTTTCTGTGTATTCAGTACGTTTACTAGCAGCAGAGGCGTCGCTAGGTGCTTAAAAGATTCAGGGCACTATCAAATAGAATTGGGGTACGGGCCAGTGCCTAGCGACACCTGCGTCTAGCAGTTACTAATACTGAAGATACTATGCACGTGATTTCAAAACTTTCAGAACGTATTCACGTGCTTGTAATTTTCACGTTCATTGGTCAAACAGTTAATAATCATGTATGACAAAATCGTTTACTAAGATCTTGTAAGGTTCGATTATTAAATACAAAATAAAAAGACGGTAGTTAACTAGAAAACTTTTATTTTCGTGTTTGGTCTCTACATGTAAACAATATCTTGGATCGCTTAATTTTTCAGCGAGTAAGTTACAGAAATTTACAGTTAGAATATCAGTGAAAAATCTGTTTTGTTCTACGAGTGTTCAGTATATTATGTAAACCGACTGATATTTCTCGTGTATGATAACAACATGATAGATAATAGGGGGAGTGTATCTCATCATAATACCCCCACCCTAGTGCCACAGTCTGCGGACTTATACCGCTAGAAACCGGGTTACGATACCCGTTGTGAGTAGAGCATAGATACCCCTTTGTGTAGCTTTGTGCTTAATAACAAACAACTCATCATAGTAGTCTATACGATACGTGTCTAGATACAGAAGTTTTACCAACGGTTTGTTACAAAGTTTAACAGTCTTGTCTGTAATTTATTATCTATATTACTAACATCGTCTTATTTAAATACTTCACATTTTACAGTGGTTTTTTCAAATTCTCAGGTTTGATCAACTAAACGGCAGCTGGCAAGAGAAGTAAACTAAAAAATTTAATATCTGTATGTATTTTGTTATTGTTAATTTGTTATGTTACTTTGCATCAAAAGTTTTTGATAAAAGAAATGAAGACAACATGTAGTACTCAATACTCATCTTCCTTTATTGAATTATTAATTTTTAGCAAAAATACTTTATTAGAAACCCTGATATTTTCTATACAAAAGACTTGTAATGTTTACTGAAAGCTTGCCAAATTTTGTGAAGATTCACAAATCGTATCGTATCGGACGATGTATCGATACAATCGTATCACGGCTTCAAAATACGGTACTCAATATGATATGAGAAAGCTCCCTGTTATAGTCGCTCTATCTCCTGTGTATAAGCTACTTTCCAGCTACCCAGAGCGTCCCAAAATCGAAAGTTGGCGAATAGCCAAAACCGAGATTTCTTATTTTCGTTCAACAGGTCTAGCACCTACCTAGTTTTAACTATAATTTTATCATCATTTGATAGAGATAAGCAGTCTTCACGATCTTTGACTTCCTATTTTATTATTACTGTATGCAAAATTTATAAAGCTTTAAAATGCCCTCTATAACCTAGTAACCCACGTACTTCATCTTATAAAAAAAAGTAAACAAAGAACTATTAGAAAATAAATTTGTCGCTAAATAAAAAAGGTATGTAGGGCTGACTACTGAACTTTGAAAAAGGAACCAAACAAGATAGGATGGAAGTGGTCATATCACTTGATCCGGTTAATGATCACGTAGCAGACTGTATCGGCTTTACATGGAAAATAAAATTCCTACATTACTGGCTTCTTCACTAGCAAAACAAATAGAATAAGAATTTTCTATCGTAAAATGTTATTCTATTGTAAAATAGTCATAAAAGTGGTATTCTAAAGTTAACTAAACAAAAGGTATAATGACAAAAACTGAGATTCTATTCAAACACCAAACTTTCGATAAACACTGAAATATAACGGGTAGCAAAAAATTAGTTTTCAAATTACCAACCAATCACGGACAGATTACATTGAAAGAATTCTGCGGTGGTATAGCATGTCTGAATAGCATATTTCATTACAATCATGCACATTGATTTGGCGTGAACTCGTACAGACTTAATGACGAAGTTTTGATAAATATAATGTATTTTTGTTAGTTATACTTAGTGAAAGTTGTAAATATACTGAATGAATTATATCTTAGACGGTAAAGCCAACATAAGCCATTGCAATTTTATTACAGGAAATTTACATTTTGACCAATACTAATCTGAAATGTTATTCATTAGAATGATAGAAAACTACCTGTAACTACATGTTACTACATTTCAGCATCAGTTCTATCTTCCTTAGTATAACCAGTTTTCTAATTAACTACATTTCTGCAAGGGTATTCCCCACTAGACATAAAAGAGGTGGGGGGGCTACAGCACTTCCCCACTAGACATAAAAGAGGTGGGGGGGCTACAGCACATGCTTGTTTTTCGGATATTCTTACAAAGCTACTCAAGGGCTATCTCGCTAGTCATTCCTAATTTTGAACTGGTAGATTTGATGGAAGGCAATTGATCAACAGTGCCCATGTCAACACTTGGACTACTCTTGTCTGACATAATAGTGGGATTTGACCGTCACTTTCATAACGCACGAGTTTATTTTATTTTTTGCGGTAATGGGGCGTGAATCATGGACCCACAGAACTACAAGTTTTCACGCTAACCGTTGGGCCACGCTTGGCCTTATCTCACATGAAATGCAAGCTCGAAATTGTCATTACTGACCAAAGTAATAATCCCACACCATTTCCCATTCAATTCGTTCTCCATTTAAACCTATTTTATAAGAGTTGTAACTAAATTAAAATGTAAAATGTAAGCTGTATTTAAGAATTTTATTATAGATATTTCGTATACAATATTCAGGAACCAAAACTTTAAAACGTTAAATTAAATGAGAACATTTATTAAAATATGCATTAACGTATATTTGTTGTGCCTTGTTTCCTTTACTGGCGTCAAGTTTGTTTCAGAATTGAGAGCAAAGCTTCCCAAATATAGCCGTCCCTAATTTTGAACTGAATAAGGGAAGGCAGTTAGTCAACAGTATCTATCGCTGAGTCTTGGGCTACCCTTGTCTGATCGAATAGTGGGATTTGACCTTTACTCTTATAACACAACCACGGTCTCAAAGTGCTGAGCACGTTATTTGCGGCAACGTCTGGTGAACTATAAATCTTAAACTAATAGGCCGGTAACGCTGACTAACCACTACGTTGAGGCACTTAAATTAAGAGCTAATAATGCATGTATTATGGTAAGATATGTAAAGGTGCAAAATTTCGAAGACTTTTTCTAAGGTTTATATATATAGGGCTCATTAATTTATTGCCATCATTCTTGTGAAGATCGTTTTTTTTTCATAAATACTTTTACCATATTTTTGGTAATTAGACTAACCATCACAGAAATTTCTGGACATACTTTGAAATTCAAAACAAACCAAAAAAAATGCTTGTTGTGTTCCCCTTTTTGTCTCCCGGAAGGACAGTGGTAAGTTAACGGACTTATAACACTAAAATCCGAGGTTCGATTCCCCGCGGTGAATAAAGCAGACAGCCCAATGTGGCTTTGCTTTAAACAAACTATATGAATTGTTCCCCTTATTTGTTAATTTCCTTCTTCGAGTATCCCTAGTGGCAAATAAATCCATTTTGATATAAATGTGATGTAAACTAAACACCGCGTTTTATCATAGTTTAAATAAACTAATAAATACATGTAAAGGGTCACTGATTAGATGGAGCTTCTACTTTTGGGGTATTGTGTTGTTGGTGTAGGATTAATGTCTGACTTATGGAATACTACCTTTATACAGGTATTTGCATACTTTCGAATTTAATGACCTTCTCTTATTACCATCTTCACAGTCAACAACATAGCCGTATAAAAGATAAATCATTATGTTGCCTTGATTATTGTCAGTTTCATTACTTTTTCATTGACTTGGTATAGAATTAACCAAATAATTGTTTTGGCAGTACTGATTTTTATAACACAACCACATATGCAACTTAGAATAAGACACTTTGAGCCAATCATGAGCTGTAGCAATGTTTATTATCCCCGAGGTTTCGCTATGCTAGTGTCACCTCTTCCCAGCTATAAGTTTATAAGTATTTTTTTAGCGCAAAGTTATACAATATGCCATTATGTGCTCAGTGCACTACAGGGAATCGAACCCAAGATTTTAGCATAGTAAGTCTGTAAAAGCACCGCTGACGTACTAAGGGACTCTCATCTATACTTTGAAAAACAGTTTTTTTATTAGAGTTAAGGTGAGTAATTGTTGAATTTATTAAAAGAAAAGTTACTGTATTAAAACAATAACGATCCAATATTTCAACGAAATACAAGAATAATCCAAAGTAACCCTCATCTTGTACCATGATTAAATAAATACCCTTGTCGATCCTATTGTAAATAAGATTCACTCTTTTCTAAAACTATTGTAAAGTTTGTAATTTGTGTTATATTTCTGTAGTGGATTATGCCACATGAGGGGTCATTATACTGTAGAATCGTTTAATAAGCAACTATATTGTAATACTTGCAAAGTTAATGAGCTTAAAATGAAGTCAATGGGCTTAAGATGAAAGTAAAAAGAGGATGTCTGTTTGTTTATTCCTAAGGTTGAAGTTGAATAAAAGTTAACTATACTATGCCCACCGCAGGGAATCAACCTTGAATTTCAGCTTTATAAGCCCTAAAGCTTGTTACTGAGCCACTGTATGTGTGTTGGGCAAGAAGAATGCCATGTTAAAATTAATATATATTTTTCTTTGTGTGTTATGGCTAGGTTTCGTGTTCTGCTGTTGCGGTTCTTTAATTTTATGTAAAAAATACAGAAACGATGATTATTGTTTTTATCACAGTTTTTAACATTTAAATGAAATTACGGTAATTCATTCAATAAGTTTGACAATTTTAACAGATGCTAATAAATCCCTAAAAGTTTATTCACAGCCTTGTTAAGCTCCATCTTTCGATATTTCTGAATGAAATTCATT